TATCAATGAACCCTACATGGCATGCTCACTCTATAGAAATAGCACCTGATGGAGATGTGTCCTTGACCNCACAACAAGTTAAAGGCTTTAAGGTAAGAAACTTGATAAAACTTTAATTGATTACACCCATACATGTGTACAGGTCAGGAAAAAAAATCTTGAGAATTTTGCCTTGAAAAATCAGGAGATTGGGTGAGAAGTCAGGAGATTTTTCCAAAGTGCGTAAATTCTTGATTTGAAACTCTAATTTGCACCGATTTGCACCGACCTTTTAAAGACTTATTGTCTTGCACCATATTAAGATATATGTCAGCAGTGTGCGATGAGGGCTATTTTGTGAGAATAGTGGCATTAATTCATTTGTGACTTGACATATCTTCATTGAGCATTTGTAGAACACAAATTTGTTCAAGATTTAGAAATTACAATGGAGCAATTAAGAGTCTGTGATAACTCTTCACATTCCCTTAATTTATAATTATTTAATACAGGTTCCACCTTGTAAAAGTTGTGGAGGTATTTTAAAACCAGAAATTGTATTTTTTGGTGCCAATGTGGCTAGACCAACAGTTCATTTTGTATATGAAAGAGTAGATGAATGTGATGCAGTATTAGTGGCAGGATCTTCCTTACAAGTGAGTTGCTCCAAATTTACCTAAAGTCACAATGAACAATTTAGTTTTATAATTTTGATGGCTATATGCCTGTAAATAGTAGGGTGGTGTTTGGATGTCTGAAAAAATTTATGTGCAAAAATTTAACGGTTCCTTGACTGTATTATGGTACTTGTTGAGGCAACATCTTTGTAAAAATACTTGAATATTTTGTTGTTGCTGTCTGAATAATTTTTCTTTTAAGACTGCAAGTTGCGTCATAATCTGAGAATTCTACATGGAAATTTTGTTAAAAATAGTTGTTTGGTTATTCTAAACAGCAATTTTTTAAATTTGAAAAAATAAATAGGATATGAGAGGGCCTACAAGATTATGTAAGGAAGCTCCGTTTGACAGAATTTTATTGCCAGGAGACTTACACAATCATAATTATTCATTGCCAAGAAGGATTCTTTTTAAACAATTTCATTCTCCTTTCAGGTATATTCAGGGTATAGGTTTGTGAGTAGAGCTCATGATCAGAAGAAACCTGTAGCAATAGTTAATATTGGACAAACAAGAGCTGATAAACTTTCTACTATCAAAATTAATTCTAAATGTGGTGATGTTTTACCTTTTATAAATATATGATAGTAAAATTTAGTCCTTTTTTTTTTATTTTGTTTTTTTTTTATGAATAATCCACAGAATACCTTTTCTAATGAGTAACGGAATATTAAAGATGTTCAATTAAACACAAATTAGTTTTCCTACAATTCACTTAATGCACTCAGTTTGGTTGATATCAATTTTCCAGACCTTTAATATCATTCTGCCAAATAAATAAATTTCCACCGATTAAATTGCGAGCCAATCAAAAATCAGATTTTCATCCTGAAAGTTGATTGTGATAATTCTTCTCAAAATGAGAATAGGTAAAAAAAACAAAACTGCATACATGATAAAGTGACTAAAGTTCAGATTTATTTAAAATATAATTTCTCATCTCAGTTAAAACTTTTCAAAATTTTCATTAACATAACAAAAATAAGATCTTTATACATTTACTGAAATATATTGTATTGCTGTTAGAAACCTTCTGTTTACAGAGATATTACTATACAATACATCCAATACATGTCCTAGAGTTACCCACTAGTAATACACAATGCTTTATTGAACAAATCACTCAATTGGTTGAGTATTCCAGACAACCATAGATTGTTGTACATGTATATAAAAAACTTAAAGCTCAATAATTCATTTTGTTAAAATAGCTGTTTTATATTATGACCAGTAATAAACAGTATAAAATCAAATTCTAAAATGAAAACTAACAATTTACACAACAAGTAAAGCAAAACAAATTGTTAAAAATACAAAAATTCAAAACAAAACATTGGTTTATATAAAAAAAAAATGAACAGTTAAAAAAAATAAATCATGCACACAATTACTCACAATTTGTTTTGGTAAAAATTATTGAAAGACAATCTTAATATTTATATCCTACACATCACAGTATTATGGAAGTTTTTAGCATTTCTTCCAAATACACAGTAAATTTGTATCAGTTCCGTAAACTATATATTCTTTATCTGAACTCACAGAAACACAATTAATCACTATTTTCTGGAATGAAAAAAAAGTTTAATATTAAGTTTTTGGTTCAAACCAGCCAATGGATTACTGTAGATCTTTATAATTCATGTGAATTCAATATTTGTTGGGTTTATTTGCATCCTCACTAAATAAACAAAAGTACTTTGGAACATATGTGTTTCTAGGGACAAATCCGAAGTCCATTAAATCAAGTAGTACTTGTACATATGTACAGTTTTTATTGAATTGTCAATTTGTTAATGGATTATTTTTTTTTTCACTTTTCAAATTTTACTGTGAACACAATAAAGAGTATGTATAATGTTAATCATTATAACTGCATTAAAAGTTACTCTTGAGTATTCATCATATTTGGTAAAGAAAGCACAAAAGGTTATCAAAGTTACCTGATTTTCAAGTTCTGGGACAGCATCATCATCTATTTGAGACTTACTGTCAATATTTAATTCTGGCCATTCTAATACCTACAATAAAACATAAACATATTTCTCTTAGCAATGGGGTAAAATTTCATTTATCAAGCAAACATATCCTTTTCTGCTTAATAACTGTTAAGGAGCCTTATACCTTTAAAATAGATTATGGGTGAGGAAAATTCTAGCTAGACTCATTCAAGCTCATCAGCTTTGTGTTCAGTCTGCTTTCAGTTACCTATTGATGTGACACAACTCGTTCAGTAAAATATATGTAAATATTTCTGGACATTTTCTGTGTTCTTCATATCATCTGGGAAAAGCAATAAACCAAGCAATGTCAAAGTTGACAAATATTACCTGTGAAGGTGTAAAAATATGTTTAACAGGTCTTGTGTCTTTTAACTGTTTTAGTAAATTATATAAATATAACTGTCCTTCATCATCACCCACACATAACATACCTATAACATACATAATCATACCTTAAATATACATAATCATACCTTAAATATACATAATCATACCTTAAATATACATAATCATACCTTAAATATACATAATCATACCTTAAATAAGCAAAAATAGAACATAGCTTAAATATACATAATCATACCTTAATTCTCATTGAACAAAACTGTATATTTACCTTGAGAATAACCAAAGTTAAGATAATCAACTTGTGTTGAGGTATACTCTAATTCTAGTAAGGGCTGGATTTGTTTTGATTTAACTTTCTTGGTAATGATACTATCTTTGATATTCCACACCTTAATAGTACCTGTCCCCACTTCTTTACTAGCTATAATATATAAATCATAGCACTGTATAATTACATTCAAATTCTGGTAATAACTATCTGATTAGAATGCAGATCTTGTTGTATCCTATGCCTTGTTCAGTCAAATTTTGACCCAATAGCATTTGAATTTTAAATTTCAAAACACTGTTAAAAGTTAGATGACAATAAAAGTCAATGATGGAACATTTTTAAATGGCAAAAAAGTCACATTATGGATGGCACATGGAGTCATCCATAGAAAAAACATGAAATGTGCAAAGCACATCAAGTATGCATAACAGGCATGTATTTGTATAGAGATTTTCTATACTAACACTGTCTTGAGGTTAGATCTCATGCTCAGGTCACATATTTTTGGTACAGTATGACCAAATAAGATCCAATATTCTGATAACTGAACATCTAATAATATAGAAACATAATAACAATCTTACCCACTAAATCATGAGTTAACATAACTAGACCATCTATAGTTTGTTTTTCATTAGATTGTACAAATATATAATCTGGCTCACTGAAATATCAAATCAACACTTTCATGTATTTTTTCTTTCTTAACAATTGAATTTTTTTCCAACTATAATTTGTACATATTATGTTTGCTTAACATAACCAACAATTCAAAAAAAACCTCATGAAATATTTACCTTATTACTCTATTTCTTTTCTGTGTTTTCTGTAATTTTGTGGCATCAAATTTCCAGCCTATACACCCATTTTCACAAGCAGCTACTAACACATTTAAAGTTGGACTGTACACTAAATTAATAGCATCAGAATTAATGTTTGGTACAGCTAGTCTTAATAGTGGACTGAAATAAACAAAAACAAAGACGGGTATACATATATTTGTATAAATAACATTTTATTATAATTTTAAGAGCTATATGCAAATAATATTTCACATTTTGAAAACAACCAACCGTGTATCTGCTTTAGTTTTCCATGTTAAATCTGGTAAACCTATATCCCATAACACAATCCATCCATCTCTAGAACTACCTGGTGAAAATAATCATAAAAGATTAAGGCATGAAAAGGGGGTATAAGGACATTGCTAGTTATTCACAGAGCTTACATGACATTTGCTTTTGATGTAAAATCGACATATAGACATCTGCTTAGCAAAGGGGCATAATATTCTAATATTACAACTCCACCAATTCATTCAAAATGATTCTTTTCACTTGCCTTGTATGCTGTATTCAGCTGTCTGCTTTTATAAATAGCTTTCAAAAAATGTTCCCATCTGTTTTACCTTTTGACATGACAAGATTTATTTAGTAAAAAATAAAGTGCTACACTATCAGGTTTTCAATGATCAGTATGAACACTTACTGTAAAGATAGTTAGGTATAGTTGGATGAAATAATAATGAACTGATATATTTTTTATGATATGATAGAGATGAATACATGACTAGTTGAGTTGGGTATAATAACTTGATACAACATCCTTCACCTAAAACAAACATAATACATTGATCCTGTAATCTAAACAAAAATACAAGCTCTGAAAACAACAATGGTTATAGATAAATGGATATTTGTCATTTGATAGAGTTCATTAATACACAGATGTACAGTATTCATACAATTAAATACAAAATATTAGTAAAAGTGGAGACATTCTAAGTTTCGAGACCGCTAAGGAACATTGCTTTCACATTCAAATTGATGCTCAAAGATGTAATATACAAATGAAATTATATTACCTGCTACAGCTAGAATATTACATTTAGTAGTTTTGCCTTGAATTGGTAACGTACTCCAAGCCAAAGTATAGAATGACTGAAAATGACACAAGTAAAAAGAACATCAAATACAAAAGATCTTCAATGCGGCGATTTCTTCTTTGAAAATTTATACTATGAAATCTTACCATTGTAAATAATTGTCTCTATGCAAGTCAAAGCTGGTTCAGGTCGATATCAGATTCGGCAGATACAAACCAACTGCCTATCTCAAAATGCAAAGTTTACTTCTCTACTAAATAGAACATGAGCACCTGATGGCAACTGTTTATTTTTCAGTAATTGGTGCTCTCAGGTTATCTTAATCCAGCGTCGACCAGCGATCAGATTCTCTCAGTTTCAGATACTATCAATTTCCAGGAGACATTGAAAATTTGTTTGCTTTAGAATTCAGACCTGAAATGTTTGCTAGTTAAATATCAAATCCTACCTCATTACTATCTGTATCATTATATCTCTTCATCACCTTACCAGTTTGACAATCTATGAAGTTGACTACTTTTGATCCACATGTGGCTAATATATAAGTTGTTTCTCCTACAATATACATAATCAATCATCTACCAATTTTATATCAAAATAATATTTTTCCATTAATAAAATTACAAATACCAATTAATAATCATATTTTCATTGCAAAAATTAACAAGGCTGTAGGGTAATGTAGACAAATGCCTCACTTTTGAAACTTTTACCTGACCAAACTTTAGAAATGTCCTTTTTTCCAATTATGTATTTTCAGTCCAACAAGACTCTTTGGCTCTTTTTAAGTTTGATTAAAAAAGAAATCTGGATTAGGCATTAGCATTAAATTGTTTCCAAACTTTATTAGATAAATACTTAACTTCACTAATAAATTTGACACTTTGCAATGTATAGAGCCAACAAAAGTAATTAGCTTCACTCTGACCATGAGCATAAGCATTGCACTACACTATTTTGAATATATATGCTTCTAAAGAAATATAAAGTTTTGCATGTTTTCAGATGGATATTTTGGACATTTAAAGAAAGATGTTGTAGTTTGATTTCTATACTCTTCTTACCCTTACTCTGTAAACTTGGTTCGAATGCTGATTTCCATACTTTTGAATTATCATCATTTGGATCATTGTCTTTAGAATGACATCTTAAAAATGCTGTTGGTTCATAATCAGGTGAAGGAGGCTAAAAGACAAAAATGAATATTATTTACAAGTAACTGGCATTAAATTACTACAAATATTATGCTGTTATCACTTGTTTGAGTAAAGCAGCAAAAAAATAATTTATAAGTTTGAAGATAATGTGCTAAATTTGATCTATTAACCCATATAAGCTTATCGATATATCAGATTGTATCCTTTAAATTTTGATACCTATCATGATTTTATTGCCATTTCCCAATCTCAGCACTAATAGTCTCACTTACCAATTTCTCTTTTTCTTCAACTTTTCTCTTTGTTTGTGTCATAGTTTTTTTATATCACAATTTAGTTACCTGTGTTAAAAAGAAGTTTTAGTATAAAATCAATTTCAATTTGATTTTTGTTTTTTTTTTTTATTTAAACTACTGGGTATTTAAAGTTATTTTAGTAACTGACAGATATAAGAATGTACAGGTAGCATGTCCTGATTGATAGTTAGGATAAAGATAAACAAAGCAAAAGCTTACTGATGATGCCAATTATTTCCAAATCATAAAAGTTTCAAAATATAAAAATGTGAGGGGCCATACAAAAACCCTGTACAGAACTCTAAGTTTGTGCTCCACAGTTGCCAGTGCCACTTTCTTTGGTCAGTAGTTTGGACAGCAAAGTATTATGCATTAAATGGTTAATAATAGTTTTAAATACCATAAATGCGTGATTTGGCTGCGCCATCGTCCTACCTACGGTGGTGAAAAAACACACTTGACTTGAATGAATAAACAAAGAGTAGAGTCAGTCAAGAGAAAGAGAAGCATTGCTTTTAAAATTTATGGCCTTCATCATTTACTATCGTACTTTAAACGTCAACGTAAGCAATGACAAAGTAACTTATTGATCAATAATTTCCTACTAAGAATGTAGTGCTATTTTTGCTACTTTTTAATATATTTACAGCAACGAAATCGAAAATTTACCTGGTTCCCGCAAAATTAGCACAGTTGCGAAAATTTTATACCCAAAACTATTATAAAACGAAATATTGCTTTTAAATTTGTGTTTCTATTCGACAATGATATATACTCACTCAAACATAATTCCTACAAAAAGTGGTATGTTGCATTTTCCGTTTAATATCCAATTTGATTTTAAAGTGATATTCTAGATGAAATGATAATGTGATAATTATTTCGAACTTGAAAATATCTTTAACCTATTTTAACTTACCGGAAACACGTGGTTTTGTTTACAAACATTGCGATTTTTGCATAAATATTCGAAATAAAATGTCTTTTATTATGAACTCTAATAAATCCTGTGGTTGTAAAGGAATTCGGAGTTGTCTCCTTTGTGAAGACAACAAAGACAAAATTGAAAATGTGTCGGAAAAGAAAGAAAAAGTGGTGAGTAGCTGTCTAACACTTACAGTAGTTACAGGCAATGGTTCAAGGGAGATATCCACTGATATGACATGTTATTTTCAGAACACAGTTAATTTTTTTTTTTTATTGAAACACAGACTGAAATTTGTTATTTGACATTTTGCATTGCATATTTGGTTTTCTTTCAGACATTGAAATACTGTGATCTTTGTAAGAAAGCATGGGCTTGGGGCTTTCATCCCAATCATACTGGGGATTCCAGAGATTTTGAAGGAATTTACTTGCATGAGGAATTTATTGATGAGATTCTGGAAGCTGAATTGATCGATGAAATAGATAAAACTGTATACTCAGATTCTCAATCTGGTAGAAGGAAACAGGTTTGTTATACATTATGTCATTTCCTTTGGCATAGACTTGGAGCCAAAAATATCTGAATATATGGCCAAAAAACCATCATCTGTCTGATGTTTTGAATGAAATTCAATAAAAATGTCTTCACTGTTTTTCAAAACATTGAATTCAGTATAGTTTTTGTCCAGAATTTGTCAGTGTTCCCAATTTTGTCACTGCTTCTTTCTAACTGCATTATTTTCATGCTTTGTTGAAATGACTGAATTTCAATTAATATTTGAATGTTCTATTATTGTTCATGACTCATAAATATTTTACATCTCTTCAGGATTATGGACCCAAAGTGAACTTTAAAAAGCAAAAAGTCAAATATGAAGTGTTTACAGGACTACCAAAATACAGTGAAGTTTTGTATACGACATTAACAGCTCTTCCAATATTAAAAGACTTTATACCTGTGGAACTATGCAATTTAGAATATATTCCTGAAAGAGGGTCTGCAATAGATCCTCACTATGATGACTTTTGGTTATGGGGAGAACGATTAGTTACTATTAATTTAATATCAGAAACTGTATTGTATTTTATAAATGATCAAGATTCAAACATAGAAGTACAAGTGACATTACCACCAAGATCTTTAGTTGTGGTCTTTGGTGAGGCAAGGCACAAGTGGAAGCATGGAATACATAGAGATGATATTCAGAATCGTCGTATAGCAATGACTTTCAGAGAACTATCACAGGAATTTGAAAAAGATGGAAAGAGCAGCGAAATAGGAGAAAAATTAAAAGACATTGCTTTAACTTTTAATGGAACTGCCGTTGGAACTATTCCTAAGAGTTCTTGAACTATGTAATTTTGTAATAAATTATTGTTATCATTAAAAATATTATTCATTTTTGTATTGTCAACCATTTTGTTTGTAAACGACATTTTGAAGCCTTAAATCCTGGTAGGTAAATGATAGGAGTCAAAATAAAGGATTCCTACTAAACCATTTGAAGCTGTTATATGTTTTGGAAATAACGACTTCCTCAACTGTAACACATGTGAAATTGTAAGTGTGGCATCAAACAATGTATTCAACATGAAAGCTCCTTAAACGACATATTAACATATGGTGTGCTGCGATAAAAAGATAAAAATTCTCCCATATTTTCAATTTTTTATATGTAAAAGTAAACGGAAAATGGAAATGCGTCTGAAATGCTCACACCATTGATTTTGCAGATTGTATACCCTGACCTAATCTTATTGAAATTAGATTACAATGTCGTTCTTTTTTCAAAAAAAGGAATAAAAATGCTTTTGGCACACTCGTCAGTTTGCGTATTAAAGCTGAAAGTATGTAACTTTCACAGTAGGCGGTATGTCGAAATTGTAATCTCGTCGGTAAAATTACAGATGATACACAAAGACTATATTTTTATGCATGGGTCAACAAGTTACGGATAAAGTGTGTTATGCTATGAATTAACCATTTTTCTACCTGACAATATAAATGTGCATCTGTTACGTTAGGTAAGACAATCATCAGTCTAATAACCCCACAAACACTCCACAATTACGTTGATCATTAAAATTAATTCAATTATTGAGAGATCGTGAAATCATTTGGTATTAAAATAATAATTAGATTGTCTTGATATTAATAATGTAGCCCCTTTCTGATTGAAATTCTATCACAACTTCATTTCATAAGCGTTTGTTGATTGATTTCGGATTGAGTTTTGGATCAGATACGTCCAAGAAGCCCACTTGAAGTTTTTGTGATCCCGAATTTGCTTCTTGATTTCGAGAGACTATCTGTGCCAAGTATTTTTGAGAACTGATAGTCATTTGTGTTTATTTGTGATATTAAATTTTTCAAGAGTGTTTCATCAAATCCATCGAAAATGTTTACTTCGACAGCTAAAATGAGCGGAGGACCAAGCTTTAAATCTGCAGCACATATAGTAACTTTGAAGCTGAGAGATGTAAGTAAAAATTTTAAAAAATTGTTTCTGTAAACAATCCTTACAAGCAAAACGCTCCTAGAAACCCCTAATCTCGTCCAAAATATGACAAAATTGGAAGAAATAATGGTATTATAGTGGACTCCTCAGTACAATCGGATGTTTGTAATACACTTGATTTCAGGGATGATAGTGGTGCGTTTTTGTGTAGCCTATCAATTTGGTACATTGTACTGAATAAAATGTATCGAGGCAATACCTGAAAGCAACAGAACCTTTTCCGGCAAATAAAGCTGAAATACAGCTCTATGTACCACTCTTCAGAATGGAAATTCTATTTCTGGTTCGTGAGTAATCTAAGGAAAATGTTAGGGCGTAAGTGAAGGAAGTATAAATTTTCAGACAATCTAAAACGCATGTATTATCGACTGAATTAACATTATATAAAAACTTTTTTCTGAAACCTATACCTTATATAACATCAGCTGGTAAAGTCAATATTTAGATAGAAGTAGAGAGGTGGGAAGAAGGGACAGGGGTAAAAAGATAGGAGGTAGAGGTAGGTAGGATAGACGACATATTATGAGAGATTGAGACAGGGAAACTGGAGAAGAGAAGTAGATAAAATGTGGGATAAAGAAGAGACTTAAATGGGATGGGACAGAATGTGAGGGAAAGGGAAAAAAGAAAAGGTATCAAACTATATAGTGGAAGAGATACAAAATAGAGTAAATTAAAAAATTGGGAGCATTTGGTAAATATATCTTAAGAGATAGCACATTATATGGGGGGTTGGGGTGCTAAATGCACTTGAGAGAAGCAGAGTGGTACTTCTGGTACTTGTCAATGGATCTTATATTGATTGGATCTCATTGTACATGCAATGCTTCGAATTATTGTACCAATATTTATTAGTGGTTACCTTCTACAATCTGTTTAACTAATTAGATGTTAATGTATTTTCACGGCTAAGATTGAATTTCAAAAATTGTCAAAAGTAGCCTCAGTGGTCAGATAAAATTACACAGAATTCCCTCCCTTCAAGTATAAAATGTATATGTCGCATATCATTAAAATTCTGCATCAAGCAAAATGTTCCGGTTGTAGACTCCAGATCGATCTCGCCAATGGTATAATCATAATATACAAATAATCATATTGTAAGATAAGATATATTGAATGTATAGTTCTTCGAGGTTTACCACCGAGCATGGCAATATTATACGATTTAATTTGATTTGGTTCATACATCTTACTGAAATTTTGGCAAATCATAACAATATCGGACCAGAGAAGGGTTGTTTTGACTCGCAAATTGCGAATACCGCTTAAACCCTGCATAAATGCCTCTGAGAAATGAACAGAGAATACTAAAAGAGAGGACTAAAAATCAACGAATACTATTAATTTTTGTGTATAAACATTAGCCTGTAAAGGTTCAGATTACGGTAATTTGGTAAATAATTTAGAGAAAGGTATTCACCAAGGCTGCCTATTATTAGCTGTTTTGTCTTCAACAGTTACCAATGAGATGGTATCTAATATTTAATAGTACAAGTTTTTTTTAAACAATCCAAGGATTTTCACACAAAATTTGAGCATTCGAAACTATTTTCGTTTTTGACAATACAGTTCCGACGCTTTAAGCCATCGCAATGCATTACATTAACATTCTTATTTTATAAGTATTTATACTTATTATACAACAATGTATAGTATGAATATTTTGGCTATCCGACAATAGTTTTTTAGATAACAATTTTGAAATGGAGGTTTGGTTGTAATGATAAAAGCACATACATCATATGTATAGGCCATTGTTTATTTGATGGTCCTTCAGATTATTCAAGGTCTTAAATCAGTTAAGTCATGTAAGGAGGCAGGCCTGCGTCTGCTAAAACTGAGATTTTCATAGTGCATGCTCCTTAATTTTGAAGAAGCCACAGGTGTGTTATGCGTTTTGATTAAGTAGGAGTTTTTGGCCAGAAAGTTGGGGGAGGCAGTAAATTACGACCCTGTTAGCTTTGATGTTTATTCTTGAATTTTCATACAGACGACGTAAATGTTTCAATCTATGCCATAAATATTGAATTAAGTATAAACAATGATTAAAACACGTTCTGGAAGAAGATGCAGGTGCTGTTAATTGCGCCTTGAAATGCAGTCAAACGGAGTTTTACATTTCTACAGTAGTTTTGGTCTGGTGTATAAAGGGAAATATATACAAATATTTTATTGAAAAAATATGTAGTGAATTTGACATGACAATGGTTTTGGTCCATCATGAACACATGGGTTAATATGGAATAATAAACAAAGAACATCGATATGTTGATAAAATAACTATTTGTGTATGTTATAATAGTTTCATAATGTCGGATGCATATTGACAGAATTTCTTTGTTCTCGAGTATACGTTGAAATAAACTGACAGAAACAAAATGAATACTAGTATTTTTTGATAGACACTTGTTTTTGAACTGTTATGGGCTTTTTCAACATGATTATCACGACGTCTGCTCGATAGAAATATGCATCATATAAAGAGAGCATTGGTATGCTGTAGTCTTATGATAGTTTTATAAATACTCTTCTATATTGGCGGACTCTCTTTGTTCTGGAGTATACGCGGAATAAAAATGAAGAAATTGAAATTTACGCCCTTCTTTTCTGCATTATATGGACTAATGAAGACGGGCAACGCCATGTAGGTACATTGAGGAAAATTTTGCCAGGGCAGTAGCATTAGCCAGCCCCTTTTTTTTTATTTCCAACTGTCGAGGGATCTTTAACGTGCACAGCCCGTAGCATACTCAAATATTGTTTTTGAATTGTGTATGAGTCTTTAACATGTACATCATTTGGTATTCCTCTGTCTATATATAGAATTTAAAAAAGAATTGATATGTTGATTATATGATTGTTTATATATGTTTTAAAGATTTCATAATTACCCTTGTATATTGGAGGGATTATTACATAAACTTCCTATACACATTTATCGAGAGTTTATTTTTGTCTGCTAGTATCAAGATGGTTTTCTCATTATCTTTCTTATCTGATGAATAGTGGTGCTATTCTATGTATTCAACGGTGTTTAAACGTCAAAACATTTAGGCTACCTATACGAAATGTATATAATTGGTACTGAACTTAAGTTCGTATAGAGTGTTTCTGGAGAGTCTAAGATAAAGTAATTGTTCATATCTTTGAAAAAAAATCTCGAATGTTATAAGTTGTTTTGAGGAAGAATTGAAAGTTATTCTGTGAAGAATTTCAGGATAGTAGAGAGATTTATGATGATATTCTCAAGTAATTTGTTGTTATATTTACCGTTGTAACAAAACCTAAGTAATAACATTCGATGGCAAAAGTTTGAGGCTTTTTTCACCTGTTCTGAAAACGGTATGTTTTAGGCAACTGAATGATACAGACTCGCTGAAGTTTTCTGGAATAAGTTGAATTAACAAGAAAACTTAACCCCAATGTGACCCGTTCACGAATTAGTTACAAGAGATTATCTATGTAAAATCAAGGCTCGGCGCCAACATTATTTCATTACCTTTACTACAGTTCCTATAATGAATGTCGAGTTTCGAAAACTTGCAAAGTACATTATGAGCTGCACTGGCAGAATTTTTTCTATGTGATGGAATACTTGGATGAAAGTAATGTTCTTATACTACCCTTTTGGATTTAATAATTGTTGGTACATATCTTCATCAATTGCTTTCTATTTCCGGAATAACAAATTATTGTCTCTATTTCATCCAGTTCTTCCAGTTCCGAATTCTTCTTAACGTGGAAATTTCCATAGGTTTTCTCCCCTTGTTAGTGAAAGTGATATTCCATGCAAATTATGGAACATAAGAAACAGTAAGGGGAACATAAGCCATACCAATGGAATGAAACACGGAATAGATAGATTAAATGGAGCTTGCAATACTATATTGAAGTGAATGTGTTGTTTTGACTACGAATATTTAACCGATGAAGAATATCAATCTTCCTCAACCATGTTTGCAGCAGCATCTGGAATGGGAGGTCACAGCGCCTCAGATTTACAGGGCTTGCAGGTAGGACAATCATTCCATAGCTTTTATTTGCAAAATCTGGGTAAAAATGACAGCACTTTTAAAGTGATTTAGTCGTCTATTCAATGACGTTAATTTAAGTTGAGGACAAATTATCTTTCAGGAAGATTTAATTAAGTTGGTATGCCTTTGAACGTGCTATTTTTTTGACTACATTACCCAGATTGCAAATTCATTTCCGGTTTAATTGGTTTCTGAATTTCATTTATAGAAAAAAAACCCAAAATGATTTGAGAATGTGAGTAACCACTACATGATAAATTACCATCATATCAAGTATGAAGGCTATTGATTAGTGTAAATATACATTGTCTTCTTAACACTGCTGATTAATAAAAATTTCAGTTATCCGCAACACTTATCAGATTTAAAAGCCCACACCCGGTTCATATTCATATTGTAGTAATAACTTTATAAAGATGTATTAAATATTCCATGTTGTCTAATATTGAAAAAAAAAAATTTATACGCCCACATGATAAAGTGGACGTATGTTGCCGTCGCCCCTGTCCGTCGGTCCGTCTGTCGATCGGCCTGTCTGTCAACATTACTTGTAGGCACAACAGAGACTTCAATTTTTAACCGATCTTAATGAATCTTAAAATGCTTGTATATGTTGAGGAGATCATCAATTTTGCAAATACATTGTCCCCGATACCCATACAAAATTTAGAAAATCTCTTTACAAACCATGTAATGAAATTTGGTATTCGTGTATATATTGATGAGATTAAGTTCGAATTTGGTATTAATCGGATGAATTGTTTTCCCGCTGTGTGTGCGTCGATGAGATCTTAATGAACTGTTTTGGGGATTTTGTGTTGGCTTTTGATTATTTGGAATCAAGCCACTAGAGACTTTCATTTCTGGTAGTAAGTAGTGGGCGTATATCTCTACATATTGGGAGCGATATACTTATATGATGTATTGAACACATAACTTATTGTAGTAATATCTTTATATTGTGTATTGAACACATAACATATTGTAGTAATATCTTTATATTGTGTATTGAACACATAACATATTGTCGTAATATCTTTATATTGTGTATTGAACACATAACATATTGTCGTAATATCTTTATATTGTGTATTGAACACATAACATATTGTCGTAATATCTTTATATTGTGTATTGAACACATAACATATTGTAGTAATATCTTTATATTGTGTATTGAACACATAAAATATCGTAGTAATATCTTTATATTGTGTATCGGATACATTAAATATTGTAGTAATATCTTTATATTGTGTATTGAACACATAAAATATCGTAGTAATATCTTTATATTGTGTATTGAATACATAACATATTGTAGTAATATCTTTATATTGTGTATTGAATACATTAAATATTGTAGTAATATCTTTATATTGTGTATTGAATACACTAAATATTGTAGTAATAACTATATATATAAAATATATAAATATAAATGATATCATATTGCATACAAAACATAATATCTTTACATCGCCTCATTTAGAAATACTGAAATATCGCCATATGGTGATATATGGAAATTATTGTGATATACAGTCGAATTTTCGTCCAGATAAGATCATTTGTACAATTTTAACAAGTAACTTTATATTTTGAACAGATGGTTCTTTTTTTCTGAGTGTTTATTGATCTAAAAAAACATTTTTTTTTTACATTTAAAATGTTTTTTGATGGTACAAAATAACATTTTGTTTCAAACAACAATACAAATCATACTTAAGAAATTTCACGATAAATACCCTTATCGTGATATATTAATGGCTTATATCGTGATCTCAACATGAATCAACATCACCCCGTCCTTAATATCGTCATAATGAATTATTATTTTACATATTGTTGTAGTGACTTCATAAAGATGTATTGAATATTGTAGTAATATCTTTAAGTAATTCATTGAATGTGCAACATATTCTCGTAATTTCTTTTAATATTATGTATTGAATACATTATTGTAATTAGATCCCCCCCCCAAAAAAAATTAGGAACATATTTGTGTTGGCTTCTGCTTAAACTAGCTCTAAATAAAATAGAGTGCTCGTGTTTGACGAGCATAAACATTAGGCACTTTATAACGTAAGACACTATAAAATGTTTGTAAACACCAAAGACAATTCATCGAAACAATTCTACAAATTCACTTGGGTCATTAGGAATGCAAATGTACAGACTTTTCTTGGTTTAACTATCGCAGATAATACTTGTTAATACACCTATAAACCGATTCGGTCCTTTAACCATATTATTATTGCCCTTTATATATGCATTGTATTGTTAGATACAAGTATACGTATGCTGGGATGAATATACCCACACAAGCATTAAACTACTTATTTAAACGGCTGTTTCAATCTCAATGATTATCATATACTATATTGCAATATAATCGTGTGACTCGAAGAGGAACTGTGCCTAATGTTTAGATGTTTGAATCTTTGCCAATGATTCGTTTTATGGCGTTCGTGTTCTGAAAATGCTCCCGATAAGAGCTAAGATAGGGATTACAGTCAGACCTTTGACTCGTCGACAAAGGATTGGTTACATAACCACTGCCAGTCAAACTTCGCTGGATGAAGATGATGAAATTTGGCTTACGGTAGGAATTTTTATGTATCTTTTGGAAATATTCAATATCTTTCAATTAATAATGGGAGTTAATCATAGCTACTCATAGTAAATCTTTTCTACTTATTTGGATTGTAGGACATGCGTGCACGTAATAGTTTTTGACGGTCAATTAAAGAACAATTCTAGATCTAGATTTGTCGCTTCGTATTGCACCTGTGTGTGATTTCAGTTGACACCCATGATCTTAAGCAATTGTTATTCAACCATAGGTCATATTCAAGGTCATGCTATTCAACCATCAATTGTTCTGATCCATAAAAAGATCTTCCAACTAAATGCGAAGAATTTGATGATTTTCCTTCGTTAGCAATACTCGCAAGTATTGATTGAAGATAATGGCAAAAGTGTTTATGATAATAAAGCAATACGACTCAATGTCAGTTTGTGAAAGTAGATTTTTTCAGGTTGCATGTTAATAAAGAAGAATGTGTCTGTCTGCCAAGCATAATAATGATTGTACTAACAGATAATGTTTTATACAGAAATGTTACTAATATACCAGCACATCTCTTTAGATCAACTTGGTCATTATAACGATCTGTCATTAGCCACAGGTGCATTACATTAAGGAAAGTTGCAATATATATATATCAAAACCTTGGTGATATATATCAGACAAAATCACGAATGCAGTTGATAATCTAGCAATCTTTGCAATTGCTTCTTACAAGACCATTATTTCTGTGCTATAACGCTGGTTCAGATCTAGAACGGTACCGTCAATCTTTATTTTTAACCCCTCTGAACACCTTCTTCCCTATATGAAATATTATAAAAATATCCATACATTACTTCTTACAAAAGCACGATTTTTTGTGGGACTGTAACGCTGTTAATCGTTTTGGGGTTCGGGCTCGGATCGTAAACGGTACCTTATTTCTGATCTTCCTGTTTGAAATTTCACAAGAATCTCCATGTAACTTTTGTCCTATAACGTTGGTAAATCGTTTAAAGCGGTTCTGTTTCGAATCGTGAACGGTACCTCAAACTTTATTTTTAATTTTTTATTAAGACCAAGCTTTAAAAAATATTGATTTTAGTTCCAATAACTATTCGAGCTAATAGATAACTATGCCTGGTTATATTTAATTCAATTACATTGGCGTATTAACGAAACTTGTTCTGGTTGAGCTTACTGATGACCTGATCGGTTTGATAACTAACGTAGTGAACAAACAATGAACCATATAATTTCACAATTATTTTATGGTGTTCAGTGTGCGCTAAACCTTTATGTTAATACACTTGTTGACATAAATGGTGGTCTTCACTGATCTGGGAGTCACTGTGATCGAACGAGTTAGACGCCTGCTCGCTAAACTGAAAATCCTGACATCATATCATATCAAATGATATTTCGAATTTTGCAATCAGGTTTCCCCCTTGTTGAGGATCGATGGAGCTAGTTGTTGGGGTGAGACGAGATCTCTCGACAGTTGGAAATAAAAGTAACTTATGTCACTGTTGTTGCAAAATTTATTTCAATGGACACTGTTTGGTGTTTTCCGTTTTCATTAACTCAATCAGTTGCAGAAAAGTAGGACGTTTCACTGATCGATATCAACCTTTTTCAAAATGTTTGCCATCATATGATCTGAAAAGATCTCAAGCGTGAAATCAAACAAGTTTCAGCAAAATTCACCCGTTTAGCCAATAACCTATTTGAGTAGGCCTATAACGTTAGGTTACTGAAACAGATGGAATGGAACTATTCGTTGTTGAAGTTACTGGTCTATTAAATTATTAAATGACTGGATTGTTTATAAAGGACTGTGACTTGCCACTTTAACATACAGTTTTATAAGTAAAGTGGTCCATACAGCCACTTTAAAGGTGGAATAGGACAATGTCAATTCTCGAAACTTTGTTATTTTGAAAAATGATAGTAGGCTATACTTCTTAAAACTGCAAAATTAACAAAGTAAACGAACATTCGAAACCTGACCAAACCGATTTAGAATTTAATTGAATTCAAATCAGCAATTACAATACAAGCTCCCGTGATTTCTAACATCGATTAAAAATAGTGTGGAGGCGGCTCTAAAAGGATTTAAATCTTAAATCTGGAATTGGAAACACAGAATGTTCTGTCGATGCTCCAAAGATTTGTTCTGTCCTGTACCAGTGTGCCGGAGGTTACACTTCAAGCCTCAGAATATAAAAAACCTTTTTATTTGAAAGGGCAGCAACTTAGATTCATATAGGATCCTTGTCCAAACCTCTTAGCACTGACATTTCCCGGATTATCCGTACCATATTCTGAAAATGATGTATGGAAATTAGATTATTGACAACACAGGTTACAAATGTTCATTCTCGAAATCCAATTGCCCACAGGATTCGACCAGGCGCAAACTCTACCTCCAATTGAACCCGATATAGATAAAGTAAGCTAAATTGCAATTAAAACGTAATATAGGTCTAGTCTATCACAATAATAATGAATGGAATAATAGCGACTAAATTTCTAATTATGAACTTTAATAATATTCAACATCTGTTTCAAACTCATGCCTTTCAAACTAGGTCTTCGTATATAGTTATTTTCAACATGTTATAATAATCAATAATGAAAATGCATACCCGAAGGACGTGACAGTTTTGCACATTTGACGTCAAAAGATCTAAACCCATTTATCCAAATGTCTTGCCAATCACAAAACTTTGTTCTAATGACATCATTTGATACTCTGAGCGACTTACTGAATCCAAATTGTCGTTTGAAACAAAACACTTGTATACAATCTTATTATTGGAAATCTTAAAGAGATTTAAAACGAAAAGAAAAGCATCACAAAGTTAAGATTGATTTTTTTATCTAGATGGAAATGAAAACTTTCGTTAGGCTAGCAAATAAAACAATGGCAACTGACACAAGAAATCACTGTAAGTATTGATATTACTCTGAAAATTGAAATAAATCACTATGTAACACACCTATCAAAAACTACTAATGCATTAAGACTCTCGTTACACTTTAACGGAAGAAATATTATAAAAATCCACTGCACCAAAACAACTATCAAAAATATAAACTATCAAAAACAACGACTGCAACAAAACAACTATCAAAAAACAACTATCAAAAAACAACCACTTTTACAAAACAACTATCATAAACAACAACTATCACAAAACAACTATCAAAAACAATCACCGTAACAAAGCAACTATTAAAAACAACCACTGTCACAACCAACTATCAAAGACAACAACTGTCACGAAGCAACTATCAGAAACAACCGCTGTCACAACCAACTATCAAAACAACCACCGTAACAAAGCAACTATCAGACCCCACTGTCACGAAGCAAATATCAAAACATCCACTGTTAACAACAATCACTGCAACAAAACAACTATCAACTGTAATAAAACAACTGTCAAAAAACAGCCAATATTAACAGAAACATCAACAACCACTGTCACATAATAATTATGAAAAGTATCCACTGTGACAAAACAACTACTGTCACAAAACAACTATCGAAAGAATCCACTGTCACAAAACAACCACTGTCACATAACAACCAAAAACACTCAACGTAACAAAACAGCTATCAAAAACATCAACTGTCGCAATAGAACTATCAATCAGTTTAACCTCTTTTTTCTGGTCGTTTCATATTTTCTCTCGTAGTTTTCGAATAGTTCCACTTCTTTTTTTTAATTTAAGAAC